TTGTTGTTTCTGCAGTTTTGAATTTTGTATGTCACCAATTGCTCTTGTCATTGATATTTAAAACCATTTCCGCTATATTTGCATAGAGATAATTTAAGCACTATTTTACTCATAATCAGTACATATATTTCTTTAAATTTCAGATACCTTGATTCTTTTTTTTCTTTTTTTTTACAGAGGATGCAGAGACTAGAAGGCATGTCTTTCAGAAGGTTTGTATAAATATAATGCAACTTTTCGAAGACATTATCCATTTGATTTTCTGTAAGTGTTTGTTATTGAAGAGGAGTAGTCTCAAACATAAATTGAATTTGGCCAAATGCAAGATTTAAAAGCGTCTTGTTGCAAATAATTCTAGCATGTTGAATTAATGACTAACTTACTTACTTAAGTTAAAAATAAACAGTTTTCAATTTATTTCAAAGTTTTTCTGGCTACAGATTTGAGCTGCAATGCCTAATAACCATCAGTCAATCTAATTCTTTTTGTATTGATTTTCAGCTGTGCGGAAAAAATGTTCACTTATAAATCTACACTCAAACAAAGTAATTTTCCTTATTGCAAAAATTCACAACTGAGGATTTTTTTTTTTTTTGGATAAGTATGAATAAAATTTAGTCATATCTGTAGCTTGAAATGTTTGAAAAAATTTATACAAATAAAATATATATATTTACATGAATTATATTAAATGAATTAATTCTGTTTCTGAAATTTTTTGGGCAGTTCTCGTGTGTATTTTTAATAAGGAAAATAAAGTAAAAGTGGACTGTGAATCATTAAAATTTTGAACTTTCTCTTCAAAGTCTTGTCATAATAATGCTTATTAAATGAGAATATATTCCTGAGCCATGTGAAACTGCTTCAAGGGAACATGTGCAGCCGGCAGACCACCAGTTTGAGACAACTGCCTTGGAAAACCTTTCTTTCTGTTAATATACTTTGTTTTAAAAGAGATTATCAAAATGAGACGTTTTATTGTGTTTAAGATTCAACACTTACTGTCCCACTAAAAATTCAGGACAGGCCACATTATTTATTCTATTGTTATGATTTAATGACTAAAGTATAAAGCAGTTGATGCAATTATTAAGAATATTGTTTCTTTAATTTTTTAATGTAAATGATTTAAATAAAAATATATTTAATTAATGAATTTTCATTTAAATGAATTGGATTAAAATGTTAAATACTTAATTAAAATGTTAAATAAATTCTATAATAGAATTATATAACTTTTTTTTTTTTTTTTTTTTTGCATCATGTGATACTGTGCAGAAGCCCTGGTGTAAGCAAAACTCTCTCTCTCTCTCTCTTTTTTTTTTTTATATAATATATATATATATATATATATTTCTTCTAGTAAGCAAACACAAATACAAGTGAAGTTTTTGTACAAGCAAACTGGTGTCAACTATTTGAAAGCAAAGAATATGTGTATAAGAGATTATATGAAGTGCAATATATTGCACATATATAGTATAATAATATATATGAAATATATGCGATGCTTTCAAAGTTACTGAAGTTTTTATTTAAATCTTAAAAAAAAAAAAAAAAATATACAGCACTTCAATTCTAATTTTCTCTTTTTCAGATCCTCAAACTCTGCAAGACATGCCAGTTACTTCTCGAAAGAGTAGTAAATGGAGGTAATTAAGATTTTTTTTTTTTTTTGGCTTATGCTGGAACTGAATCTTTTATATATATTTATTGTCATTTTATTCTTTTTTAACTCGATGGTTAGTATATTATTTCCCAATTGGGTTTTGTTAATCGTGTAATGGTAAATCGTGTCATGGGACTTCGGCTATTCCAGATTAGGGGTTTTTCCGAATTCTACACTGGTGTGCAAAAATTAAGGACAAAGTCGAAAAATTAGCATATCAGCTGAACGAAGAGGCAGAGCGGACAGAAAGACCAATCAGGAGATTAAGTAAGGTGATGTACGGTAGCACATGCACAGATATGTAGGTAGACGTAATGGGGGAGTGTCTGAGTAGTATAAAGCATGTTGTCGGTGTAAGATCAGTATTTCTGGCAAAGAGATTGCATGCCCTATAGCAGTTAAAATCACACCGAGTTGCTGCCTCAGCGAGAAATGCCGAATAATCAATCTGTTAGACGACATCTGGATGCTTTTACCCGACGTCGAATCATTGGGAAGTTGAAGGAAGGCCGCAGTGTGACAAGTGTGGCTGCAGATTCAGAATTGCTCACAGCATCGTTTAACGACTTTGGAGACAATTTCAAACTACAGGAACAGCTATCCGGGGGTTTAGTAGTGGTCGTCCACGAGGAACCACACCCGCAGATGACCGGTATATTGCCTTACAGGCCAGAAGAAACAGGCGGGAGAAATCGCTAGACACACGACACAGGCGACTGGACGACCGATATCGCGTTTTACCGTGGCCAGAAGACTGCACGGTGGTGGTCTGTTTGCACGACGCCCTGTACGGTGTGTACCTCTAACGCCTGCCCATCGGAGAAGGCGTTCTCTGTGGTGCTGGGAACACCGTAATTGGAGAGACAATGAATGGGGACGAGTACTCTTTACAGATGAGAGCAGATTCAGTCTGAGTAGCGATTCTCATCGGATACTCATCTGGAGAGAGCGGGGAAGCGGCAATCATCCCTCGAACATCATTGAAAGGGACAGGTATGGAGGTGGCGGTGTTCTCGTTTGGGGAGGCATCATGCTTGGTAGTCATACAGACCTTCACATCTTCAACGCAGGTTCAGTCAACGGGACCCGTTATTGTAATGAGATTCTTCTTCCATATGTGCATCTTTTTAGAGGAGCTATGGGTCCGCAGTTCCTTTTCATGGACGACAATGCACCATGTCATCGCACAGTAGCTGCCGAACAGCACTTAGAGAGTGAGGATATTGAACGTATGGATTGGCCGGCACGATCTCCGGATCTCAATCCCATCGAGCATGTATGGGATTTTCTAGGCAGACGCTTGGCAGCTCGTACCTTACCACCAGTAATGATTCCAGAGCTTCGATTGGCGCCTGCAAGACAAATGGGCAGCAATGTCTCAACAACTCATTGACACCCTCATTCTCAGCATGGGCAGACTCTGTGAAACCTGCCTAGCAGTCAGGGGAGATCATATCCCCTATTAAAGACCGGATGTTTCTTGCTGGACACCCATCACAGGGATGTTTTGGCCTTCAGTTGCATTGCGCTCCATGCTACGTTTTCAATAAAGCTTCTTTTTATCCCTCTGATTTCTCTTTTAGTAAGTGTTGCTTACATTACTCATGTCCTTACGTATTGGGGATCTTACGGTATTAAATGTGTTGATTTCGAAAGCTTTTGTACAAAGTTATATTGAAAAAAACCATCTCGTCCTTAATTTTTGCACACCAGTGTAGGTCATCAGTTTAAATCTATGATCTATTATCAGTTTAAATCTAAATCTATTATCTTAAGGTGGCATGCAGAAATTATAAAATTAAAAATATGAAACCGTAATTTATGAAATAAAGAGCAATTATGATCTAAAGGGTATCAAAATTTGCAAAAAAAAGCTTATTATTTATTTATTTACTTTATTAAGCATTTCTTTCAATGCGCGCATGCGTAAAGCATACATTACGCATAGTCGAAATCAGAAAATTGCAACCAGGAAACTGTTTGATGTGTATTCGTGATATTTATAATGACAAGGAATTTGATTTAAATCATATGAAAGGCAGAATACATCGAGATGAAATACTACATTTAGTAAGGAATTATAACCCGAATAAAATAAAAGCATCTGCCCTGAAGATAAGAAAAGTGCTGACAGATAAATTTCCAGTTCATTGCCCCCCCCCCACAGAGCAGTGTGAAATTGATAAACAGATTTCGGAATGGTTATAGAAACAAAGGATATGCCTTTATCCATTTTTTGCAGCAATTCCACTTTTTGTTTGATGGACATCGAAACGTGCTTTCGCTTTGTAGATCCTTTTATGGCTCCAGAATCGGAAACTCTTTTTGACATAATCAAAAGTTCAATCTTACTTTTTATAAAATTGCTCTAACAGTCTGCAAAAAATAATAAGCCGGATCCAATTAGAAGATTAAGGAACAACGCTATCTGCAACATTAACTGAAATAGATAATTAGATAATTTTAGCTTAGCTTATACCGTCCATTATACATTAAACGCGCATGCGTAAATGTATTATGTGCAAGCGTAAAGGCATTATGCGCATGCTTTAACGCATTATGCAGATACGCATGCACAGAAACTTTATAGCTTTGAGGTCCGAATTATAGATCATTCCGGATTAAGGGCATCCGGATTAAAGACTTTTGACTGTACTTCCTTTTCAAAGATAATCAAAATGAGATGACTTATTGCATTTAAGATTCAACATTTTGACTGCTATTATTTGGCTGCAAAAAATAATAAGCCGGATCCAATTAGAAGATTAAGGAACAACAGAATCTGCAACATTAACTGAAATAGATAATTAGATAATTTTAGCATAGCTTATACCGTCCGTTATGCATTAAACTTGCACACATAAGCGTATCATGTGCATGCGTAAAGGTATTACGCATGCGCAGAAAGTTTGTAGCTTTGAGGTCCGGATTATAGATCATTCTGGATTATTGACGTTCGGATTACTGTATAAATTTCATTTATATAAATCATATTGATAACTAATTCTCTAAAGCAGCAGATGTCATTCCTTTAAACAAAAACCCTTAGCATTTTAAAACAGTGTTTAACTTGTGTGTAAACAAGTAACTTGTAACTTTTTTAAGAATTGTTTCTGCAATTTCGAATTTTATATGTAACCAATTATGTCACTTTTGCCATTGATATTTAAAACCATGGCCACTATATTTGTATACAGATATTTTTCAGTAAGAAAACAAGCCTATTTTTTACTTGAAATCAGTACATGTCTGTCTTTAACTTTCAGATAATAGCTTAATTTTTTTTTTCAGAGCTTCAGGCAGAAATGGAGTACCTGATGAAGGTGTGTATAATTATGATAAACTTTTCTATGATATTATCCATTTTATTTTCTGTGAGCATTATCATCTGAGAGGAGTTGTCTCAAATATAAGTTGAATGTGGGCCTGATGCATAAAACCGGCTTATTCAAAATAATTCTTGTTATAAAATTAACAAACAGAGTAATGGCTAATTTTTGGACTTTATTAACAAAAAAGGTAAAGAGAACTTACGTACGTCGTATTGTTTACATGACAGCTTTTAGAATGAAGAAAATAATAGTGATGCCAGATGCATAAAACATAATAATACAACAAAACAATGATGCCACTTAAACTGCACATAATACCAATTAAATGCTTGATTTTCAACAATTCTAATGATGTTGAATTAATGGTTAACTTACTTATGGTAAAAATAAACAGCTTAGAAAATATTTCCAAGTGGCCAAAACTTGAGTAGAAATAATGACAACTTATTCCTCTTTCTTTTATTTATTAAGCTTTGCTTCAGCCTATACTGAAAAACATATATCTATACATCAATAAGTGAATTTCTTTATTTTTGGCTACTGATTTGAGCTGCAACACCTGATATATGACCATCAGTCAGTCTCATTCTTTTCTTATTAAATTTCAACAGCTCAGAAAAAATGTTCACACGTAAATGTACGCTCAAATAAAATTATTATTCTTATTTTCAATAATTCACAACTGAGGGTATTTTATATTTTTGATAAGAATGAATAAAATTTAGTCAGATCTGTAGCTTGAAATCTTTGAAAAAGTCTACTTCCATTTATGAGTATTTTTGAGTGATTCCCATATTTGTTTTGAAGGGTAAGCAAAATAATGTAAAAGTGGACTATGAATCATTGAAACCTTGAACTTCATCTTTAAAGTCTTGTCATAATAATGTTTATTACGTTGCTGAGAATATATTCCCAAGCCATGTGAAACTGCTAGCCAGCAGGCCACCAGTTTGAGACAGCTGCCTTGGAAAACTTTTCTTTTTGTTAATATGCTTTGTTTTAAAAGATTATCAAAATGAGACATTGTATTGTATTTAAGATTCAACACTTGACTGCCACTCTAAAAGCTCAGGACAGGCCACATTATTATATTGTTATGAATTAATGAACTAAACTATAAAGCAGCTGATGCGATTATTAAGAATATTGTTTCTTTAATTTTTGATGTAAATGATTTAAATAAAAATACATTTAAATAATGAATTTTCATATAAATGAATCGGATTAAAATGTTAAATATTTTTATAGAATTATATAACTTATTTTTTTTTCCACTTTTGAAAACTGCATAAAATTTCTCATGTTAGTCTAAATGAATATTCATCTAATTTCCCATGAAATGTTTTGTTATTTCACCTGGGCACTGTCTGGTGAAAATCTCAACTGATAAACTGTAATAAATTTAAAATGATCCCTTTTGAGCAGTTGTTAAAATCTGAACCTTTTCAATTCTTATCTTTCTTGTTCAATGTTTCTTTATTTAATAAAACTGGCGTCAATATAAAGAAAACACTTTGTAAATTGAGTATGTACTCTGCTCAGTTGATAAGGGGATAGGTAATTTAAATAAACAGACAGCTGCTGATAAATATGTGGTACACTATTAAATATATTTATGAATGTGGGAACTTAATAAAAATGTGAGAAAGTATAAATTTACAGGAAACCCAACTATTATAAAAAATTCATTATTATACGTGTCTTTCAGAGAAAAAAGAGATACACACTAAGGAATTTTGTCAGAATTTTAATAAAGATTGTAGATATCTTGAGTCTGTGGGAAACTAAATTTGTTACATGATAGATGAGGTTATGGGAGATTTTCCCCAGGTTTCCCTACTGAGTGTACAATAGATAAAGTTAAAAGTCTATCAACAGTGAATTCAGTTCTGAGCACCATTCCATAAGCTCTGCTGTTATTTCATGCGTTCAAGTTAATGAACTTAGCCATTTTGATGTATAAAAAAGATGGAATCGCCAGTGGCAGCAGTACAAGGCATTACCAAGATTTTAAGAATTTCTTCTCTGTGCATTTGAGCCGTCAGGAGACAGATTCTGAATGATGTAGAAGTCAGTACATCCATATATGCTGAAACAAACCTGTTATTTTCAGCTAAACGAGCTGTACTAAATTGTATTGAGTGTCGCATTTTGTCCAGATCAGAAGTCATGATTTAGCTGTCTCTGACCAAATCTGGATTACTTGGAGTAAAAAGCTTGGTTGGGCATTTCATCCAGTTCCAGAGTTTAGTTTTTTCGTATATATATGTGCTATATGAATTTCAAAATTTTGAAATGTTAGAAATTTCACCTCTCAGTTTGTGCTCCAGCTCTACCCAGAGCACTCAGCTCAATTCATCGCTCATAGTACCACCTTATGTGATTAAGTTCAGTTTCTTCAAACTTTACTTCAAGGCACCTGAAAATACATTTGTAAATTATTTGTGTAAGCTTCTTTTAACAGCCACTTTAATAGCAAGCTTTTTTTGCAGTTGCGTGACATTTTGTCACCTCTTCAGTGGGACCATTATTAGCAAATAAGGTCATTCTTTGAAGTAGTAACTTGTGAAAAACATTGACCAAAATCTCTTGGTACCAAATTAGGTGGCTGTTTCTTAGCTCACTGGAATGTTGGATGCTAATATCTGTTGATGTCTGGCTTTCCATCTTGCTGTGGCTCATCATAGGATGTTTTAATGTGAAATCCTTTTGACTGGGGACTGTGATATGAATTGGATGGAAAAATCTGCTGTCTATACAATAAATGGTACATGTATATAGGTTTAAAAGAAACATTCCTTTTAAGAGACTTTCATATCACATTAAAAAAGTGTCTTAATTGTAAACATTGTGTTTGCATTTTAAACAGCTTTCAGTGCCTGCTTTTTCATTATCCAGAGTAATGAATTTCATTTCAAAGCAGTTCAGTAAACAACACTTTACTGAATTGGTTTGAAATAAAATATATTTTGAAACCTTTTTTTCTGTTGGCCAGCATATGTACTGTATGAGTTTCCAATTTTTCTTACCTATAAGCTCTATTTGCATTGAGTAATGCTGTGCATCTGTGTTAGAGATTATATGAAGTGCAATAAAATGCTTTCAAAGTTACTGAAGTTTTTAGTTGAATGTAAGAGTAATTTATACAGCATTCTAATTGGAATTTTATCCTTTTCAGGTGTTGAAAAAGGTGCTTGGATTTAAAAAAGATTTCGATGATTTCCTGATGAGGGAAGCAGATGCCCTGCTGGATGCAGGTAATTAATAGTAATTTTTTTTGGCATATGTGGTAATTTAATGTTTAATATAGTGTCATTTTCTTCTTTTTTAACTCAATATTTAGTGTATTGTTTTCTATCTGGCATCTTGAATGCATTTTAATATGCGTTTTTGTTGATCATATTTTGTTAATCATACAGAAAAGCTGATGATACAGATAAAGTATTGACAATTTAAAATAAATTTCTGTTTTGAATTGTTTATAATTTTGGTTTTAATTAATTAATTAATTTTTTAAATGAAGTGCCTTTCCCAAGAATCTATTTCTTTGTTAGATTCCATGTTAATGTTAATTTTTTGTTGAATATGCATTTTTGTTAAACACGCGTCATACATACAGGAAAGATTGATTTTTTTTTTTTTTATTTAAAGGAAAGGGACCTTATCATCAGGAAAGAGAACCAGAAGAGGAGGATGAGGTAATTTTTCAATTAATATTTTTCTAAAGCATATATATCTAAAAAATTCATGAGTTTTGACTTATTTTAAACATTCAAAGTATATTTTAATTGCTGCAGCTGTATTTTTAGCAAGGAAAAACTTGGTACTTTTTACAAGTATTGTATTTAGGAAATCCTTAGTAGATTTATTATTCATTTTACTATGAAGACTTAAACTAAAAAAAATTTCTATTTTTATAAAACAGGAATATTAGTAGTTCTTAAATACCATAATCTTACCTAAGCAGTTTCTCTTTTCAAATTTTAAAGAAAATTTAGCTTACATTTCTCATGATTTTAAGGCTTTAGCAGCATATACGAGGGCTATCCAGAAAGTAGATTACGTTTTGGAATAAAAAAATAAACAAAGTATAGGAAACAAATTTTATTATATACAGATGAAAGCCACACTCAAATACTACTTTTCTACATAGTCACCATACAAATTAAGGCATTTATCGTAGCGATGTACGAGCTTGGAAATTCCTTCGTCGAAAAATTCGGCCGCCTGCGCCTTCAACCACTTCGTTACCTCTTCTTGCCTTCCATCTTGCACAAAACTTGTGGTAACCAAGCTTTTCGCTGATGATTTCATGCAACAAACTTCGCGAAATTTGTGGAAAACTCAAAGAAAGTTCCGTTATTGTGAAATTTCGATTTTCACGGACTTTAGCATCGACTTTTTCGAGAAGTTCGGCGGTCACTATGCTGGGTCTCCCACTTCGATCTTCGTCGTGAACATTGGTTCGGCCATTTTGAAATCTTATGACCCACTGACGCACTCCACCTTCAGTGATAATGTTGTCCCCATACACTTCACGAAGCTGCCGATAGATTTCTATCGGTTTACAGTTTTTTGCAGTCAGAAACCTTATTACTGAGCGCACCTCGCAGCTCGCGGGATTTTCAATTAACGCAGACATTTCAAACCATCACAGTATCTGAACGGAGCACAGCACGAACCTCTCACTAGCACGGCTAGATGCAGACTGAGCTGCGCAACGCTCTGACCCCAAGATGGCCGCGCTAGCCCCGCCCCTAGCGGACACAGACGGAAACGTAATCTACTTCCTGGATGGCCCTCGTATTTTGCTTTAATGTCAATTCTCATGCACTTGTGGTCAGATGCTGGTTGTACGCACAGTTGTATATGCTGGTTGTATGCACAGTTGAAATTTTTAGTACTGGCAAGTACATTAATCTTCAACACTATTTCATTTTTGTAAAAATCTCTCTCTCGGTGAACAGAAAACTAGTGTCGTAACTGTAAATGTTGTTTAGAAACCTGAAGCATCCTTAATGGGGATTTCTACCTAGCTGCAGGTAGTTTGAGGCTAAAATACTACATGGTACCTTTGTTTTATAGACTCCATAGAACGTCTTGTTTTATCGAAAATAGTGCTTTTCAGTGGTATGGTAATAATGCTGTACAATATACAGTACACTCCCGATTATCCGCGGAATTGGGTGGCGCGGCCGCCACGGATAATCCGAAAAAAGCTGAAAACGGGAATAGCAAAAGAGAAAACAGTCATTCCAACTTTGAAAAATCGTTTTATGTGCAGTAAAATGTAAAATAAACAGCAGTAAATGTTTAACTAACGCTTAATATTTTAGTATATTACTCAAAACTAACCTAAAATGCATTTTGTTAATGAAAACAGAAAAGTGCTTTGTATACTTACGAGAGGCGTCAAGGATACACAGAAAAATTAATACATATGTACTGTTCTAATACTGTAATGTATTATGTATTTACATAAGCATAACTGTAAAACTACATCTTTTTGAAGAAATCAGTTATTTGTGTATCTGAACTTTTAGGGAATATATTTCAGAATCAAATGTATCATTGTCAGTTCCATTTAATTAAAATTCTGAGGTCTTTCGTGTGGATAAGTTCTTCATAATGTAGCATAGTATAACACAATGCAGTGGTTTATGTAGTCTAAGAACTTAGCCCTAAAGATGTGTAAATAAGTCAATCCTAATGAAGTCTATGCCACACCTGAATACTTTAATTATTAATTTGTAATGACTGACACAATGAGTCGTATGTGGAACTGCCTTTCTCAAAAGACTTCATGAAAGATATGAAGGGTATTTTTTTATTATTTAGTGTTAATAAAAAGATGTTTGTAGGTATTCTGTTGTAATATCTTATTTGACATTTTGTTATTGCTGCACTGATCTCATAGATACATATCTGATGCCTTTTAATTTGATTCTGCACAATGTTTTTCGATTTTAAGCATGCAGAATTCCAAATGTGTAATGCTGTTTGAATGCTTAATGAAGCTATTGTGAGGTCAGGAAATATAGAACAAAAAAAACTGTATCAAAAGTACATCCCATTCATCAGACTCCTGTTTTCATTCTCCTTTCAAAGTCCGATGGACATAGCTCAGGACAAATGCACACAAAGCTGTTTAAAAAAACTCAAAAATTCACATCCAGCAATGCAGAACTTTTCATAATTTATATTAGTTTTTACTTAATGTCAGTATCTCATAAAAATTGGCATACTGCTTTCTCAAGATTTTTGACATCCAATTGTAAATGTAAAAAACATTTTTAATATGTGCAATAACTGTTGAAAATTTCTAAATATATTTGTTACTTTTGCAGGTTATAGCATGGCCTCTGAATCTTCTACCTCCTGCTCTATGGTCCGAAGTAAGTTTTTCTGCATCGTCAGATATATATATTATAAGAAGAACAATTAAATATTCATAAATTCAGAATCTGATTGATGTTTTTAATTCATAATTTAACTAATGTTTTCCTCAAGATTTGACTTAGCTTTTTTATCAGTAGTCAGCTTAGTGTAAGAGCTTTTAGTAGACATCAGTGCTTAGTCATAATTTCCAAGCTGAAGATAAGTCTCGTTTATTGGAAGCATTATATTGTTATGTTAATGTTTAAATAATGTAACGTTCTTTATGGTTATTGCAAGGAATCATTTCTTTTTAATAGAAGGTAATTTTGAGGTGTGTTCTTTATAGTGTTGCATGAGTTCTTTATAGTGTTGCATAGTTTAGCAAAATGTAGCAGTAAAAAATATAAAATAATAGCCTAGAAATTTCCTCTTATTTCTTTTTTATAAGGAATGCATAATTTTCCTAAATAGAAATATGTGAAAAAAAATTTACATTTTTAAATATATAGTCTTTTACATTTAAAAATGACAAAAGAGGAATATTTGGGTTATTTACAACATTTTTTTAAGTGGAAGTATCTATATCTGTGATAAACAGACAAGCAGTTGTGCAAGCAAAGACCAGGGAAGAAGTTTTGCTAGATTTTTTGATAGAAATTTTTACAACAGAATCTTATGTGCAGGTTGGCTTATATTTGGAAATTTTGGTACTCTGTTAAATGATTGCTGCTGTTCCTTTAAGTATTGTTTTCTTGCACTTTTTCCAGTGTTGCAATAATAACAATTCTATTTTCTGTTGTCATGTATTTTCATCTAGTAAATATTTCATACATCGAATACTCTATATTTCATAATTTCATTTCTTGTGTTATTGTGGACTTTAATATTTTACCGATATTTATTAAAAATTATGAGTTTAAATAAATATAGGTAAAATATTGAATTTTACTCTTGTTTTATTTTCTTTTGTCATTTAGAAACATTTTTTCCATGCCATTCTTTTAGAAAAAGTAGCTCAGTTTTGGGAAATGACAATACAGATGTGTGGTTTTATGATCGATGGCTAGTTATCCTTATGACATGAAAATGCTTTTTTAAAATTTTTGAAAAAATAATAAAAATTTTGAAATAAATTTTGTTTACTTTTGAATAGAAGCACAATATAACAATATGCACATAAATGACACATAGGGTACCATTTTTGTTTGGAATCTGAAATCTTAGGGAATAAACTTAGGGAAGTCTACTGTGAGAGGATGATAGAGGAAAACATTTGCTTGGGTATCATTGTATCATACACCAAGAACAGCTATGTGCGAAAGAACTAGGATTTGACCGCCTAATGAAAGTAGTGAGCGATGTAATCAATTTTATTCCCTCATATGCTTTTTAAACCACAGTCAATTTAAGGAAATCCTAGAACACACAGATGCATCACATAGTGATCTCATTTATTACTCTGAAGTACGATGGTTGAGCCGTAGAGAAGCTTTGAAAATGCTTGCTGATTTGATTGATGAAATAATACAGTCAAAAGTTGTTAATCCGGACTCGTCGGGACTTCGGCCATTCCGGATTATAAATCATCAGTTTAAATCTGGTAAGATGGCATGCAGATATTATAAAATTAAAAATATGAAACTGTAATTTATGAAATAAAGAACAATTATGATCTAAAGGGTATCTTTCTCAAAAGACAGAAAGGAAGTCTTCACGAAAGACATGAAGGGTATCTTTCCAGATTACTTAGTGTTAATAAAAAGATCTTTGTAGGTCTTTTATTGTAATACCTTATTGACACTTATTATTGCTGCACTGATCTCATAGATGCATGTCTGATAGCTCTTAATTTGATTCCGCATGTTATTTAGCACGTTTTTCGAATGCAGAATGCATGCAGAATTCCAGATGTGTAATGCTATTTGAATGCTTAAACACAGAACAACAAAATAGTATCAAAAGCAATGTGTCATTCATCAGACTTCATTTCTCATTCTCCTTTCAAAATCCAATAGACATTGCTCAGGACAAATGCACACAAAGCTGTTTAAAAAACTCAAAAATTCACATCCAGCAACATAGAATGTTTTTGTAATTTATATTCGTTTTTACTTGTATTTGTATACTTTTACTTTGTATGTGAATATCGCATAAAAATTGGCGTACTGCTTTCTCAATATTTTTGCCATCTGAGTGTAATTGTATGAAATGTTTGTAATATGTGCACTAACTATTGAAAGTTTCTCAATATGTTTGTTACTTTTACAGCGAGGGGCATCCGTTTTCCAACCACCTTGTCCACCTCCACGTACACCACCTTGTCCACCTAAGGTAAGTTTTGTTCATCTTCATATATATTATAAGAAGTACGATTAAGTATCTGTCAATTAAGGTTTTGAATGTTTTTAATTGATAATATAACTAAAGTTCTTAAGATTTGATATAACTTATCAGTAGAGATTTTTTATTAGTAGTCAGCTTAGCGTACGAGCTTTTAGTAGACATCTGTGCTTAGTTTTAATTTCCCATCTGAAATTAAGTCTTGTTTATTGGAAGTATTATTTTGTTAGGTTAATGTTTAAATATTGTAAAGTACAGTAACTCTTTTTATGGTTTTGCAAGGAATCATTCCTTTTATGGACATAATGAGTCATCCGTGGAACTGACTTTCTCATCCTCTACAGCTTTAATAACTGAAGACGAGAAAGATTAAGCACAAAATTGAATTAAAAAAGTATCAAAATACTTTGTTTAGAATTTGAGAGAAAATATATTTGCTAAAAATTTTGAAATTAATTTAATTTACTTTTGAATAGAATCCCAATATAACAACATTGATGTAAATGACACATAGAGTATCATTTTTGTGTGGAATCTGAAATTTTAGCAGATAAATTTCAAAAGTAATAAATCTTTAGTCAATTCTATTTAATTCATTATTTTGGGGTCTTAAGTTCTACATAATATAGTATAGTATAACAAAATTTGACATGCATGGCTCAACGTAAATGCACACAAAACTTTTGAACTCGAAAAATTCACTTCCAGCAACTACTAATTTTTTCATACTTTATGTTAGTTTTACGTCAGGTCAATATACTCATAAAACTTGCATGCAGCAATCTCTAGATTTTGATATGTGATTGTAAATGTAATAAAAGTTTTTAATATGTGCACTATTTATTCTGTTAGTTGTTTCTAAGTATATTTGTTACTTTTATAGGGCAATAGGAAGAAGCGGAAGAGGGCAGAGTCTCCTGTCCCAATGCCTCAAGTAAGTTATTTTTTGCAGCAGAATTGGAAGTAAATGATGGTTCTAATCTGGTAGCATTTTAGACACCTTGTATTTAATGAGAACGATATTTTTTTACATATTTCATAACACACTCTTAATGCCAAAAATTGTTTGACAAAATATATTAAACACACCAATGTGAATTTGAATTTTTGACACTAAAACTGCATTAATCTTCAATACTATTCCATTTTTTATATAAATATCTCTCTGGGTGACCACAAAAGTAGAGTTTAACTGTAAATGTTGTTTATAAACCTGAAGCATCATTAATAGGGATTTCTACAAATCTGTGCATTTGAGTCTAAACTGCTAGATGCTAAATTTTTTTCTTTAGAATCCATACAGCATCTCATTTTATCCAAAATAAGTGCATTTCTACAGTATGTTAATATGTAGTAAGGCAGATCCTTAAGAAGTAATTATTTTTCCACAATATTTATTCTGCTTATATTTTTTACATTGTAAATGTTTCTATATATTGGACACAGCATATTTTGAAAAATATTGTTGACTATACAAAACTAAATCTTAAGAATTTCCATCATACCTTGAACATGCTTATCTCGAAGTTTATGCAATCATGTTTTTAACTGCAATTAAAAACTGCAGAATTCTATGTGGTGGGAGATTTCAAAATGTTGCTTTTATAGATTGTAATAGTTTACCGATATTTATTTAAAATTTTGAATTCATTTCTGTTATTTAGTTTTGTGATCCAGACATGTGTTTTGCATACCATTCTTTTAGTAAAAGAAACTCAGTTTTTGAAATGGCCATACAAATGTGTGATTTTATGATTTATGGGCAGTTACCATTATGACATCAAAATGCTTTTCTAAACTTTGAGAGAAATTAAATTTAATAAATTTTTTAAATTTCATTTACTTTCAAATAGAATCTCAACATAGCAGCATAAATATAAATGACATGCTGTAATCTCAAGGTTTTGATATGTGATTGTAAATGTGAGAAATATTTGTAATATGTGCACTAGCTATTCTAATAGTTGTTTCTAAATACATTTGTTACTTTTATAGGGCAACAAAAAGAAAAGCAGGATTTTCTCCACACCATCCACCTCCTCATATCCGGGTCCATCATTCGGTGGAGAAGCAAGCAAAATGCCTTTTTGGCATCCCCCCGAACAAAGTGATGTTATGAGGTTTTTGTTTGGGGATCATTTGGCATCCCTGTGTGAGGAGCGCCCGAGGCAGCATACACCCCCTTGCTCCCCGCTCGCTACACCACTGCCATCATTCCCGTCCCAAGTAAGTTTTGTACATCTTCATATATATTGTTTACAACAGAACTAGAATTAAATAATTGTTTTAGTCATGATAGTTCCATTCCAGATAACTTATATAAAAGATTTTATTTCTTATTTAAAAGCTTTGTTACAGCGAGTCATCAGGGCAGTGATGAGGTCCCAGTGACCAGGGCACAAAGTTAGGTCCCTGGGACGAGGGCATCATTAATTTTAAGACAAATTTAATTAAATTTAATTTTATGTAATTTAATTTGCTTCATATTTTTCAATTTTTAATGGAAATATTTCGAGTTTTTATGTACTTTTGCGTTGCCGCGAAGTGAGAATTGAATTGAATGAGAAATATATCTCAAATTGAAGGAATTCAGTTTAAATGATATGTAGCAAAAAATGTGTATACTGTAATATGCTATATGAGAAAGTCATTTGGTGTCCACATCAGAATTTCTTATGAGGATTTTCCTTAAATAGAAAAGGCAGAAAAATGTATAGAATGTTATATTTTGTAAGTTATAATGTTTTATATTTAAAAAGGCCAAAACATGAATATTTGGGTCAAAATATTTTTGTAACTGGAAGTATGTATATCTGTGGTAAACAGTTGTGCAGGTAAAGGCCAGGGAAGGAATTTTGCTGTTTTTGTCATGTAACTTGATTTATGATGCAATTTGCACATATGTGTCTTCAGTTTTGATTGTGTTTTTACAAAAAATCTTGGCCTATCTACAGGTTGGCTTATACACTGGTTATCATAAATTAAGGAAAAATCACAAAAATAGCGATAACTCCCTCAAAAATAAGCCAAACCGTGTAAAATTTGCAAAAATAAGCCAAACCATGTAAAATTTGAATGTGTTGCCGAGTAAAACTGCGATATGCAAATTAGTGGTGCTGCTTTCGGAATACCTCATCTGTGAGGAGCATAAAAGTCCATGTTTGAGAGCAAGCCCACATATTTCACTGTGACAGTGACATCAGAAATCTGAGATAGCCAATTCGTAACAATGACCTCCAGGCATCGTCTGCCTGCAGAACTGCGATGGAGAGCCATTGGGAGACTAGAGGCAGGACAAAGTCAAACAAAAGTGGCCAGATGGTTAAATGTGAGTCCTTCTGTGGTTCATAGACTTTGGAGGCAATTTCAAACCACAGATTCGGCATCTAGGAGGTTCAGCCAAGGACGGCCAACTGCTACGACGAGCGCCGATGACCGATATTCGACATTATGTGCAAGCAGGAATAGAACCGCTACTCCGACTCTTCTTAGATCCTCCCTTGCTGCAGACACCGGAAGGTTGGCGTCAACGTCAACTGTGCGTAGAAGGCTTCACGAAGGTGGTCTGTATGCGAGGCGAACAACTATTTGCGTGCCGCTCACGTCTTGCCATAGGAGGAACCGTTTTCAGTGGTCACTACAACATGTCCACTGGAAGCTTGATCAATGGAGGGCGGTTTTCTTTACGGATGAGTCCAGGTTTAGTCTAGAAAGGGATAGTAGGCGTTATTTGATATGGAGAGAACCTAGAACCCATTATCTGTCAAACGTCAGTGAAAGAGATGCATACGGAAGGGGCAGTGTCTATGTTTGGGATGGCATCTTTTTGGGTGGACACACAGACTTCCATGTCTTTACAAGGGGAACCGTGAATGCTCAGATTTATAGAGATGAAACCTTGATGATTATGTGCGCCCATATTCTGAGGCAATAGGTGATGCTTTCCTGTTGCAGGACGACAACGCAAGACCACACAGGGCTCACATCATAGATGATTATCTTCAACAGGAAACAATTATGCGCATGGAATGGCCAGCTCAATCCCTGGGCTTGAATCCTATCGAGCACATTTGTGATGCTTTAGGGAGACATGTAGCTGCTCTCAATCCGCCCCCTCAGACCCTTGTCGCGCTTGCAACTGCTTTGCAAGAGCAATGGCTCTCGCTTCCTATGGAAATGATAGACCGCGTAATTGAAAGCATTACACATCACTGTATTGCTTCTAGAGGTGATCATATTCCATATTGAAGGTATAGCAAACTGATATCTTCGATTTGTTCATTTTATACATATACTAATTTCTATACTACCATATTTGTCTGATAATTTCTTTTTATGTTATTTGATACCTTACTATGTGTTGTATATTGTGAGTAAGTTTCATTAAATTCTACATGTAACTTTTTCAGTAATCGTGATTTTTTAAATTTTTCCTTATTTATGATAACCAGTGTATTTGGAAATGTTTGGTAGTCTGTTAAATGGTTGCTGCTGTTGCTTTAAGTATTGTTTTCTTGCTCTCATTTCACTGTTGCAATAGCAATTCTACTTTCTGTTGTCATTTATTTTTGCCTAGTAACTATTTCATATATCATATAATCTGTATTTCGTACAATATTTCATAATTTCATTTCTTCTAGTATTGTCATGGAATTGCTGAATTGTGTCTGGTTGTAAGGAGTTTTCCATTAAAAAAACGTTCTTAATAAAGTTAGGAGGGAAATATATTATTTTGCATATGTGCACATGAATGTTTCTCCAGGGTTTGTACGGTCCTTAAGAGTCCTTAAAAGTTCTTAATTTCAACCAAATTTGGCAAGAGGTCTTTAATTTTAATCATCTGAAATTTGTCGGTTTTCAGGACTGCCATTTTGAATGTGAAATAGTACTTTGAATAAATATTTTGGCCTTTCACTGAGATATATAGTTATCTTTTGAATGGGTGAATAGGTTCATGGATTATAATTTGTTCCTATTTCTAATATAAACGGTGGGATACTCAAGTTTCTAAGCAAGAAGTGAAACGCATGCTTTTTGAAATTATTTCATTTTTTCTAATGAAGAGCTCTAAACAACTTTTTATGTTTGGGAATGTGAATTCTTAATTGAACGGTTCCAAGTTTGGCGACTTATGAACATTTTGTCGATTTTAAGATTATTTTCTGTAGAAAACTTTTAATTCGGAAATTTGGTAATTTTTCGACGATATTTTTTTAAAATATATCATTGATGAATTTCATTGAAATAATGCTAATATATTGAAATTGTATTTAAAAAATAACATTAAAATGAAACATTTGTATTTTTTGCTATCATATAAAGTGACAATACTTTTGATTATAGCAACTTATTATGCAATATTTTGAATCTGAAAAATTAACAAGACAATAAATGCTTTCCGCTTTAGAACCCATGTAGTCCAGTTTTCTCTATAAAATTGATTTTATACTTTTTCCCTCTGATTTTTTTTTTCAAAATATTTCTGCCTTTTTGCTGTTACAGAATTGGCAAGGGTAATATTTCTTTAGGATTTTAGACATTGCAACTTGAAAAGTTTAGAAGGATTTGGATATATGCACATAGAAAAAGAGATCGGTCACATTTCGCTTTGTGCCGGTATCTGTGCAATTTCTATTTCATTAAAAATAAGAAAACTTTCATGTAGAATTTTATTGAAAACTAAAACATTTTTATTGTGATCGCAAAGAGGTGGCACATGTTAAATGATTCGCAGGCACCCAGTTGCCCGTGGCTGTCATACAGTTATCTCAAGGTTTTTACTTCCCTGTACGAAGTAAAAAGGAGTATTGTAATCACGAAAATTTTCAGGCAACATATTTCAACGAAAATATCCCATTTTGACCTCTTTCAAATGCAATTTAACAATGTATTTCCATGATATTTGTATGTAAGGACAGAATAAAACACTCTTTTCCTCCAAAAAAATTATAAAACTGCTTTAAAATGAATTCTGAAGAGAATTTTTCGTTGCTTCTGTACGTACGTACGTATCTCGCATAACTCAAAAACGTGTAGCCTCAGAACGTTGAAATTTTGTATATAGGACTGCTATAACATGTAGATGTGCATCTCGTATTTTGGTTGCAATCGGCCACAACAAATGTATATAAATATATTTATATATATATCCACTCTGTTACCCGGCTCAGTGATCTCAGTTTCTTTACTCTTATATGTTTGTAAATTATACATTATTTGCTTTAAAAATGATTGAATTATGTTGTTCTTATCTTCCGGTTAAAGTTTTTATGCCTTGAGTAAATCTGCATGCAATATTTTTAGAATTATCAACAATTTTAAAATTGTTTAAGTGCCATTGCTTGTTTACATTTGAAACAGCAGGTTAGTGGATTTGTTGCCAATCTAGAGAAACTTAGCTTCGCAACAACAAAGATAACGCCTTCATTTATTATTGCGAATTAAATCATGCTTAATCCTTTCTATAATTTTTTTCGAGGAAATAAGTTTTTAAGATTTACTTCGTAATTTTTAATATAGATATTTTGAGTTTTTATGTATTTTTGCCTTCTCGCGAAGTGAGAACTGAATTAATTGAATGAGAAATACTCAATCGTCTGTGAAAAACTGTTTCTTTTTTGTTTTGTTTGCTTAATTTCTTTTATACATCAGTTCTAGCTTTACTATAGTATTTGAATAGAACATGTGGCAACGATTAGATAATTCTTTAAATGATATAAATTTTGTGCATTCTGAGTTATACTATGAACGAAATATAATACTGTTAAGTAAATCTAGCGCCAGAGTGTTGCTATGGTAAACAAAGTGAATTTTAAAGAATGCATTTATTCTATTGTGGTTCATGCGCTGTCGGCGAAGTAAGTTTAATTCAATCTAATAAGTTTAAATGAAATGTAAGAAAAAATGCGTATAATTTAAGATTCCGTACAAGGAAGTCATGTGGTGTACACATCATATTTTTTATAGTTTGTAAATGTGAGAAATAGTTGTAATATGTGCACTAACTATTGAAAGTTTCTAAATATATTTGTTACTTTTACAGTGTGTGGCATCCCCAACTTCTGCATCCCCTCCTTCACCTCCTTGCCTGCCTGAAGTAAGTTTTGTGTATCTTTATATATATTTAAAAAAGAATGATTAAATATCTCTAGGTTTTGATATGTGATTGCAAATGTTAGAAATGTTTGTAATATGTGCAGTAACTATTCTGTTAGTTGTTTCTAAATATATTTCCTACTTTTATAGGGCAATAGGAAGAAGCGGAAGAGGACAGAGTCTCCTGTCCCAATGCCTCAAGTAAGTTATTTTTTGCAGCAGAATTGGAAGTAAATGGTGGTTCTAATCTGGTAGCATTTTAGACTCCTTGCATTTAATGATAACGACATTTTTTTTTTACTTATTTCACAACACACTCTTAATGCCCAAAATTGTTTGACAAAATATTATTAAACACACCAATGTGAATTGGAATTTTTTGACGCTAAAACTGCATTAATCTTCAATACTATTCCATTTTTTATATAAATATCTCTCTGGGTGACCACAAAAGTAGAGTTGTAACTGTAAATGTTGTTTATAAACCTGAAACATCATTAATAGGGATTTCTACAAATCTGTGTGTTTGAGTCTAAAATGCTAAATGATAAATTTTTTCTGTAGAATCCCTACAGCATCTCATTTTATCCAAAATAAGTGCATTTCTACAGTATGTTAATATGTAGTAAGGTTCTGCAAATATATGCAGATCCTTAAGAAGTAATTATTTTTCCACAATATTTATTACATTGTAAAAATTTCTATATATTGGGCACAGCATATTTTGAAAAATAATGTTGACTATACAAAACTAAATCTTTAGAATTTCCATCATACCTTGAACATACTTATCTCGAAGATTATGCAATCATGTTTTTAACTGCAATTAAAAACTGCATAATTCTATGTGGTGGGAGTTTTCAAAATGTTGCTTTTATAGATTCTAATAGTTTAACATTATTTATTTAAAATTATGAATTCATTTGTTTTATTTAGTTTTGTGATTCAGGTATGTATTTTGCATGCCATTCTTTTAGTAAAAGAAACTCAGTTTTGAAATGGCAATACAAATGTGTGATTTTATGATTTGTAGGCAGTTACCATTATGACATCAAAATGGTTTTCTAAAATTTGAGAGAAAGTAAATTTAATAAAATTTTAAAATTTCATTTACTTTCAAATATAATCTTTATATAGCAGCATAAACATAAATGACATGCTGTAATCTCAAGGTTTTGATATGTAATTATAAATGTAAGAAATACTTGTAATATGTGCATTAAGTATTCTAATAGTTGTGTCTAAATATATTTGTTACTTTTATAGGGCAACAGGAAGAAGAGGAAGAGGGTGGAGTCTTTGACCCCAGTGCCTCAAGTAAGTTTTTTCAACAGAATTGAACGTAAATGATGGTTCTAATCCGGTAGCATTTTAGGCTCCTTGTATTTAATGATAACGATATTTTTTTACGTATTTCACAACACAGTATACTAAAGCAAGTCTCTTTCATTCAAATGCGAAAAATTGTACGACAAAATATGATTAAATATGCCAATGCAAACTGATGGCACAGATGATATTTGCAACTGGCGGGAAACTTTTCTTAAAAACCTGATATTTATAATTCTATATGTATGCTATAACTGTCATAAAATAGTTACGTTTTCTATTGTTGTCGTGTTGGTGTGAAGTTGGCATGTAGATTATATTTTCTAAGAATTATGTACTTCTCATAAAAAAACACATTATACTAATACATAAAGAGAACACTTTATGAGATTAATCACAACAAGCCTTACACCGTTTATCAAAATCATAATAATCTCTCTAGATGCCAGACACATTTTTTAACTCAATCTTTTACAATCTAAGAAAAAATATCATTGTTGCCAAAACATTAAAACTTAAAATTATCCTTTATAAGCAAATACTGTGACATTGGAGGGTTATGAAATCTGTGGCTTTGATCAAGTTTCCCCCCCCCTTTATGTTTTTATGCTTCTTTCCCACAAACAAAAGCTTACTTAGTTAAGATATAATAATCTGCTTGCTAATAATAGAAAAAAGTTAATAAAATATTAGTAAATAGTGAAAACTATTGCCAGCTTGTGAATGAATTGCCGTCTAATTTTAATTCTCAATGCCATGGAAAGGGTTGGTTACCTGGGTAACCAAAGAGCTGACAAACTATGCCCAGTTTTATTTATTGTATGCTGCCAAATTTTTTATTGTTTATGAATGAAACTTTTTGCTTGAATTTCCAAAGATTATATTTCTAATTAAAAATTTTTGTTTCAGCACCGCCCAGTCACGAGGTCGATGACGAGAGCTTGTGGGACAGGGATGCCATTTCGGGTAAGACAAATGAAATTTATGTTTTTTCATATTTTTCAATTTTTAATGAAGGAATTTTGAGTTTTTACATATTTTTCTCTTGTCACGGAGTGAGAACTGAATTAAATGAATGAAAATATATCTCAAATTTGAGGAATTAAGTATAAATTGAAATGCATTAAAAGTGTGTATAAATACTCCATACAAGAGAGTCGTGTTCACATCATATTATTTTTAATAAGGAATGATCATCATGCAAATGCATTAAAATTTGCCATTTAAAATTTGCACATATGTGTCTTCAATTTTGACTGAATTTTTGCAAAGTCTGGATTGTATGCAGGTCGGCTTATATTTGGAAATGTCTGGTACTATGTTAAATGATTGCTGCTGTTCTTTTAAGTATTGTTTTCTTGCTCTTATTTCAGTGTTGCAATAGCAATTATATTTTCTCAGTTATATAGTAAATGTTTCAAATGTCATATAATATATGTTTCGTACAGTATTTCAGAATTTCATTTCTTATAGTATTGTCATGGAATTATATTGTTGAAATGTGCCTGATCTTAAAGAAAGTTTTCCATCAAAAAAACGTTCTTAATTGCATTAAAAAAACATGAAAGCGGTGTCTTTAGTGCAGGTAGTAACCACCACCTAAATCCATTATTTTATGCCAATGTTTTGGTAGTTTTTCAAAACCTTTGGCCCAGAAACTTGATGACTGCGAGTCCAAAAACATATCAAAATTTTATTAGTTTACTTTGTTAAGATATAATAATCTGCTTGCTAATAATAGAAAATAGTTAATAAAATATTAGTAAATTGGGAAAACTATTGCCAGCTTGTGAATGAATTGCCATCTAATTTTAATTCTCCATGCCATGGAAAGATTATTGGTTACCTGGGTAACCAAAGAGCTGACAAACTGTGGCCAGTTTTATTTATTGTATGCTGCCAAATTTTTTATTGTTTATGAACAAAACCTTTTACTTGAATTTCCAAAGATTTTATTTCTAATTAAAAATTTTTGTTCCAGCACCGGCCAATTACGAGGTCGATGACCAAAGCTCGTGGGACAGGGATGCCATTTCTGGTAAGACAAATGAAATTTATGTTTTTTCATATTTTTCAATTTTTAATGAAGGAATTTTGAGTTTTTACATATTTTTCTCTTGCCGCAAAGTGAGAACTGAATTAAATGAATGAAAAATATATCTCAAATTTGAGAAATTAAGTATAAATTCAAATGCATTAAAAATGTGTATAAATGCTCCATACAAGAAAGTCATATTGTGTTCACATCAGATTTTTTTTTAATAAGGAATGCATAATTTTCCTAAACACAAATATACGATAGCCAAAGAAATGTATAAAATGTTATATTTTGAAATTTATAATCTTTCGGATTTAAAAATGGCAAAACATGAATACTTGGGTCATTTAACACACTTTTTTAAGTGGAAGTATGTATATCTATGATAAACAGACAAACAGTCATGCAAGTAAAGGACAGGAAAGGTACTTGGCTGGATTTGCCATATAACTGGACTTTTGATGCAATTTGCACATGTGTGTCTTCAATTTTGACTGAATTTTTGAAACAAAGTCTTGAATTGTATGCAGGTCGGCTTATATTTGGAAATGTCTGGTACTCTGTTAAATGATTTCTGCTGTTCCTTTAAGTATTGTTTTCTTGCTCTTATTTCAGTGTTGCAATAGCAGTTATATTTTGTCATTTATTTTCATCTAGTATATGTTTCAAATATCATATAATCTATGTTTTGTACAGTATTTCATTAATTCATTTCTTGTAGTATTGTCATGGAATTGAATCATTGAAATGTGCCTGATCTTAAAGTTTTCCGTCATAAACGTTCTTAATAACATTAAAAGAACATGAAAGCAGTGTCTTTAGTGCAGGTAGTAACCACCACCTAAATCCACGATTTTATGCCAATGTTTTTTTTTAGTTTTTCAAAACCTCTGGCCCAGAAACTTGGTGGCTGTGAGTCCAAAAACATATCAAATTCATTTTGGACCACCTGTGTGGAATGGAAAGCAGCACCAGCAAGATGTAGCTGCAGTTGTAAAAAGTCCGGGAAAGCTCGAAAGTTCACATCCAGCAAAACAATTGTTTGATAATTTATATTAGTTTTTTTTACTTGATTTCAGTATCTCATAAAAGCTCTCATATGTATTGTATTGAAAGTTGAGTATGTATAGTATTGTATGAAATTGTATCTGTCATATGTATAGTATTGAAAGTTTCTAAGTATGTTTGTTGCTTTTACAGGGGGCAGCACCTCCTACCTCCACCTCCACCACCTCCTAGTCCACCACCCCCACCACCTTGCCAACCTAAGGTAAGTTTTATGCATCTTCATATATATTATAAGGAGTATGATTAAGTATCTGACAATTAAGATTTTGAATGTTTTTTTGATATCAGTAGAGATTTTTTATCAGTAGTCAGCTTAGTGTAGGAGCTTTTAGAAGACGTCTGTGCTTAGTTTTAATTTCCCATCTGAAGTCAAGTCTCGTTTATTGGGAGTATTGTTTTGTTAGGTTAAATAACATTAAGTATAGTAACTTTTTTTTATAGTTATTGCAAGGAATCATTCGTTTTATAGACATAATGAGTCATTCGTGGAAATGACTTTCTCATCCTCTACAGCTGTAATATCTAAAGATTAGAAAGATTAAACACGAAAGACACGAAGGATATTTTTCTTGATTATTTGCTATAGAAAGATCTGTAGGTCTTTTGTTGTAATATCATAGTGAAACATTATTGCTACACTGATCTCATGGATATTTATCTGGTACCTCTTTAACACAATATATTTCAATTTTAAGCATGCAGAATTCCAGATGTGTTTCCTATTTGAATGCTTCATGCTTAATTTGAGTGGTTTAGTAATACAGAATGAGTATCAAAAACAGTATCAAAGTAATGTCCCATTCATCAGACTCCAGTTTTCATTCCCCTTTCAAAATCCGACATACGCAGTTCAAGAAAAATGCACACAGATTTGTTTGAAAAAGCTTAGAAATTTACATCCAACAACTCGTAGTTTTTTATAATTTATATTAATTCTACTTGATGTCCGTACCTCCTAAAAACTGGCATACAGTTATCTCAAGATTTTTCATACCTGATTTTGAATGTAAGAAATATTTGTAATATGTGCACTAACTATTAAAAGCTCCTAAATACATTTGTTTCTTTTACAGGAGATGATGACTTCCAGGCGGCGGCGGCGGCTCCCAACTCGGGTCAAACCGCCCGTAAGTTTTATTGATTTAACATAGTTATTTAGTTTCAGTGGTTTTAGTAGACATCAGTACTTAGCTGTAATTATCAAAATTTCCTCTAATAGCTTTAATTTTAAAATTTAGTCTGAAATTTGGCTGTGCTTAAGATATTTGAATCTCTGTATGTCTGGTCTTATTAAACTTAGTTTTTAAATTAGGATCCACTTTTGATTTTATTCTGTATCTATTTTTCAAATTTGACATGGAAGAAAATCCTTGTTCACACAAATAGGTTGTGCAAATAGGACAGTATAAATTTAATAGCTTTATTTGAAAATGCCATTAAATTCTTTTTTTCGGTTCAGCCAGAAGTTAACAAATGTGCTATTTTTGAAATCTGCAGTTAGAGTTTGACCACAGAAAATTTCTCTCAATTGTTCTTTTTCCAAACGAGATAAAATTTCACATACATTTGAGCAAAATTTTCTTTTTCATAATCCTTGGGAAAATACATGTTGAGATTATTTATCAATGAAAAACAATTATTTTAATGTTGACGTTAATTTTTTTATTTCAAATTATTTTTCTAAAATTGGTAAAATGTTTAAAATATTATTATAATTCTTTAATTATTAGCTCGAGTTTTTTATCAGTGCATTTATTGGTAAATAAATTAACACATTGTCCTTGCAATCCTAAATTTTATTCATTTAACTTTCCCAAAATATCAGCTAAATATGCTAAACATGCCAACCATAATTCACTAAATAAATATTTTTATAATTCTAATTTTTAATCATACAGGAAAAATTTAATTTTTGATCGAAGTTTAAACAGAAGATTTAAAACTTTGCTTCTGGATAACCACCTTACTTCAGAATATAGCAAAAGCGTTTCATGTTCGCTGCCCATCTCTGAGCATAAAATCGTAAATATTCTTCAATTTAAATCTTGGCTTTTAATAAAATTGCCAGTTTTCACAGCTTGATTCAAAACAACGTGCAGGTTTTCAGGGATTGTTTTAGCTACCAAAGCTTCACAATGAATGAAGCAGTGAGTAAATTTAGTTTCAGGTGCGACATTTTTTATTTGAGAAATAACACCCGAATGTTTCCTGTTAAAGCCTGAGCTCCATCACTGCATACAGCAATGCACATATTCCAAGGAATATCATTATCAGACATAAAATTGTCAGTTACAGTACAAAGTCTTTAATCCGGACTCGTGGGGACTTCGGCAGTTCCAGATTTGGGATTTTTCCGAATTATAGATCATCAATTTAAATCTGGTAAGATGGCATTCATAAATTATACAATTAAAAATATGAAATAAAGAACAAATATGATCTAAAAGGTATCAAAATTTACAACCAAAAAAGAGCTTAATATATATTTGTTTACTTTATTAAACATTTCTTTCAATGCACACATGCGTAAAGCATAAGTTACGCCTAGTGGAATTTAGAAAATTGCAACCAGAAAACTATTTGATGTGTATTTGTAATATTTACAATGACGAGGAAATTGATTTAAATCATATCAGAGTACATAGAAATGAAATACTACATATAGTAAGGAATTTTAAACCTAATAAAATAAAAACATCTACCCTGAAGATGAGGATAGTGCTGACAGATCAACTTCCAATTAATTGCGCGCCGCGATGTTTCTTTCTCCACAGAGCAGCGGGAAATTGATAAACAGATTTCAGAATGGTTAGAGAAACAGAGGATATGCTTTATCCATTTTTTGCAGCAATTCCACTTTTTTTTGTTTTCCACTTTTTGCTTGAACTCCATGTTAAAATATTTTATTTCTAATTTAAACATTTTATTACAGCGCCGGCCGTGGACTAGGATAATGACTAAGTACCAGCCGGTGACTAGGTCACAGGCTAAAGAGAAGGGGGGCCCAAGGCCTTATTTTTAAATCCTCTCTCTCTGAGGTAAGCTTCATTTAATTTATGCATTTTATTTTATGCAATTTTTTCGTTATTGCTAAACTGTTGTAATAAATAGTGAATAATTAGGTACATTTGTGACTATTTATTTCTATTTGTATATTATGTTATGAAGCTAAAAAAATTAGAAAGAATGCAAACAAGTAAAACTAATAATGAAGGATGTCACTCACTTCTGACCTTCATTTAAGTTTTGATATGGTAATCTATATGCAGGCCCGGATCGAATAGGGTGCGGGGCCCGATTGGATTTTTTTTTTTTTCCCCCGGAGACCTCTCTCTAAAATTAAATATTTAAATAAAACTCAAATTCAGTATATATATATAAATATATCAAATGTCATGGATCATCAGACATGTAAACTTCTACATAAATTAAAAAATAAAAATGTTCAAAATGCAAAAACATTTATTGAATATAAATTTACCTCACCGAATATGAATGCATGAATTTACATATTTCTAAAATTGTTTAAAAATCTAATTTCCTTGCATCTTCACTTTCAATCGACATAATTGCTAAACTATTTAATCTGTCCTGATTCATTGTCGCTCTCAGATAGTTTTTTTGTTCTGGAAAATGATCTCTCTCCAGAAGCAAAACTTACTGGAATTGTTAAGAATATTCGGAGAGCAATAAACAAGTTTAGAAATGCCAGTGCTCTATCATTATCCGATAAAACTTTGAACATTTTAAACGGATTTTCAAAAAATTCTGAAGGAAAAATAGATTTCAAAGCTTCCAGTTCTTCAACTAACATTTTCCCATCTATATCAGCTTCTTTCACTTTTGGTACATCATTTTCTGTTAACTTAGAATCTGCTAGAGAAATTTTTAATTCAGCTGCATGTTTTTGAAGTACTTCTTTTTCCATATTTTGAAGTTTTCACAGAAACTCAAAAGATTCATTATGATTTTTTAATTGTTCAAAACGATCTTTTAGTGATTCTGTTATAACTAAATCTCTTATTTTTTTAGTAATAATCTCAGGCCAAGACGCAGGATCATCAGTTATATTCTGTGATTCCATTTTCATTCCAATATTTGCTTCTTCCTGTTCCGGCTCCATTATGTGCAATTATGTTTCTTCTTCATTCTTTAATTGTTCTTAATCTTCTTCATCTTTATCATGAACTTCTTCATTTTTGTCATTTTCCTCTTCATTTTTATCAGTACTTTCTTCTTCAACTTTGTCATTAGTTTCTTCTTCTCCTTTGTCATCATTATCTATTTAAAAAAAATTTGTTTAAAGCACTTCTGAGTTTTTCACTTTCCGTTTTCCTTTTTGCACTTAATTTCCTTTTTAGACTACCAGTTTTATATTTTCTTCCTACATCTCTTTCTTGTTTCAGTGGATTCGACATCTAATGATAAAATTATAGATTAGGTATCCATTTTTTATCGAATACTCTACTTAGATTTTTAATTACAAAAATAATTGTATTGTCAATAAAATTATGTAGAATAATTAGTACTTACCTTATTCAACAATTAGTAATTGTAGTCAGAAAACACGACTCTAATAATTATAACGATTAGAAGAATAGCGAACTACAAATGCAAGAAACAATTGACGTTTTATACTAGCTATACATACCAATGGCTGGTATGTTTGTGCAAATAATTGCTTGTGCATATACGTGCATAGTAGTTAACGTACGTAAAGTAGTAGTTCGCGTACGTAGTGCAAAATCTCTCTAATATAGGACTATCTCGATTAAATTCAATACATTTGACATGAACTTTTACGGGTATGAGTTTTCTATATTAATAAAGTATATATATAATAATAAACACATTAATAAATCTCATCCAGCAATGCGAACTTAAAATAATATATTTTTAATTATTTGAATAATTCATAATTTAGCCATTATTGTCAAAAGCAATTTGCTTTAAATTTCAAAATTTTTTTTGTTTATTTTGATGGTAACCCCCTTTCAAATGCGGGGCCCAATCGCCTTTTATCTGGCCCTGTCTATATGGAGCTGCCATAAGGCAATAAGAGCTATTTTTCTAATAGTTCAATTTTAAATCTTCTTGAGCTTAGTTAGAGGGGGACTATAATAAAAGCAGTGCATCTAACTCATCATAAAGATTTTTAATGGGGATTCAAGTTAGGTGAATTGGATGGCCACTTCCTGTGAGCAGTGTTTTGATGTTTGAGGTACTCATTCAGAAATTTTGGTTTATGCGGACATTCATAATTATCCATAAGAATAAATATTGGACAACCTGCTATAACTTGCAGTGAGATAGCTCAATTGATGAGCCTGATCATCAACACCTTCTATTCCAAAAAAGAAATCTTTCTTCGAGAAATGATTTCAAACTCATCGGATATAAGTAATTCTGATGTATATTTGACATGTTGTAACATGTTAAGATTGCAAACTAAATGAGGAGGTAGTATACGAAGTCAAGAAGTAGTAACATTATGGCCCTTGGGACCATAATTTGATTTCGTTGCAAAAATGTGTATTGGTCATAGATTATTTCAGTTTTACCGAGGGCCTCAATAATTTCGTTAGCATGACTGCAGCTACAGTAATATAGTATGTCTTAACTAGCAAGATTATGGTTTAAAATTAGTTCATTAGAAGATATGAATAAATATAATGTGATTAAAAATTAGCATCTGAATTAAAGATATAAATTTTTTTATTTAGGCTCTTGACAAAATCAGGAGTATTGGTAATAGTGACAAAAACAGATCTGGTAACCAACTTGGGAACAATTGCAAAGTGTAGTGCCAAAGCATTTATGGAAGCAGTGCAGGCTGGTGCTGATATCTCTATGATTGGACAGTTTGGTGTAGGTTTCTGCTCAGCTTATTTAGTTGCAGACAAACTAACTGGAACATCAAAACATAACGATGATGAGCAGTATACTTGGGAATCATCAGATGGTGGATTCTTCATGGTTCAACCTGATCATGGTAAGTTATTTAGTGGAATATGGCAGTATTAATTTTACTATATTAAGAATAGCTGAGATTTCTTTGGTAGTAAGTTAATGGAATATTAATGTTCAGATAAATATACAATTTAAGGATATCATTGTAGTTGTAAAAATTGATGACTTTAGATGAGTGTGATGAATCCATGGCCAAGAAGCTATTAGATACACAAATCTAGGATTTCTGTTACTCAGCACATCTGATTCATTACTACAGGTTGACACAATAGTGATAATGAGTGCAAACTGTCACATTAGTGATGATCAGTTAAGTTACATTAAAAGTTTTATAACTGCCCCTTTGGCCATAATATATAGTTATTGTGAATTAAAATTTCTTGATGATATTAAAAGTAAATAGATGAATGAATGAAGTGATCCTTTTTAACACATAAGCCACACAATGCATTAATTTGTCTTAAATTTTTTTTTGAAATAATCATACTACAGTATGTAAATATTTATAATTGTTTATTTGCTAAAGAAAACATCAAATTCAAAATTCTATGCGTACATCAAATGACTTCCTCGTACAAAATATTAAATTATACACATTTTCCCCTGCATTTCATTTAAACTTATTGAATTTAATAATTAAATTTACCTATTGCTCGGTACCTCTGTTACTGGTTTTATACTTTGTGAATTGTGCACTAGAAATGTGCGCTATGATCCCAATTCCTGTTCATTTGCATGTTCGATCAAGATGTTTTGGCATACCAAATTTTGTCCTTTATTGCAAAAGTCCTTGTGCTACGATTTTTTTGCAAAAGAGCATATATTTTTTGAAAAGGTATAGTCACAAGTATTTATTTGAATTTGGAAATTAAAGAAAAATGAAAATCCTTAAACAAGAAAGTTTAATTATTCCAAAAATAAATGAAATAAATTATACAGTTTTGTACTAAGAAATATGTTGAAAAAATTCTTTGCATAGGCCCACCAGCGGCTGAGCGGTAAAGTCGCTGAACACTGGTAGTTCAGTCTGAGGTTCGAATCCCGCGAACAGGCTGACTGCATGGGCATTTTTGTGGTTTTCCCCATATGTAACGTGCTTAAATCCCCTTAGAAATACAATTTTCCTTAGAAAGTCCTCCACGAAAGCATTCCTCTTTCCATGTAGTGTCGAAGGGCAGAACATGTAAATAATAATCCTTTGCACTGGTTATTTAAAAGTGTGTGCATTGCAACCATTTTTTCCCACATGGATATTAAAGTCACTGATGATTGATCTTTGAATCCTTCACTATGAGCAATGATCATCATGAATTTTTTTTTAATTGGAAAAGTTTCGCAGAAGGCCACTTATTTTTTATGCAAATATGATTGAAAAAAGTGGTAATAAAACGTGATTATGTGTATCATACTGCTTATACTTTATTTAGGCCTTTCTTAATAGAATATTTTGACCACGTGCTAGTGAACAATAGGCACTAGGGGTAAAATTATTTCCTAAAAGCCACATTACGCATTGGTACATATGTGTAAAAATGAAACGAAATAATGAAAATAAGTGATAAAACGCAAAAATTATTTTTTGTATGATACTTTATCACTGGCAGATATTTAATATACGTGAATTATTATAAGTTTGTAACAAATATATTATTACTGCAAACAGTATTTTTAAACATTTTACTTGTGGGTCATCTTCGTGCAATCCAAGCAATAAGTGGAAGATCCGTCGTAAATTTTGCATATATAAATAATATCTATATGTTTTCCTGGGAATAGCAACTTTTGCACTGCTTTCAAACTATCTTTCCACTTTTCTCTTCTTCTTGTTGATTGATCATATGTTCTAATTAGCTGAATTATGCACGGAATCACGAGGGACAAGTTGTGTAGTTTCAATAAACTGCATATCACCAATAAACAAAAGTCAAAGTGATATTTTCTGTGGAATATTTGTTATAGAGAAAGTGAAAATTTGAAAATCATAAATTTCAAAATATGCACAAATATTTTGGTAGGCCATCTAGAGCCCCTCCTCCGCCATGATCGAATTATCGAAAATTTATGACAGGGATTGCTTATCAATCCCTGTCATAAATTTATTACATTGAAATGACAGGAAATGGTTTTCCTTTTGCCTCTTGTTTGTCGTTTCTACAATATCGTTTTTGTATTCATTAGAAATATAAACTACATTTCTTTTATCTTTCCATTTGTTGATTATACACCATTAGCATACTTCACTACCATTACCCCTATATTCAGTTTTTCATGCCAACCACCATCTAATTATTCTCTTGTCCTGGGTAGTGTATTTCAGCCAGCCGCATTTTGAGCAAATTCACCATATTTCTAATTTTACATAGTCAATCCTTTGGGGCTTCTGAATTTTGTAGTTTCACAAAGTGCAGTGCTCCAGCAATAAAAGAAAACAATTCCTGCTCATAGTGCGCTCAAGTGTGTATCTCAAATATTGTATCTGTTTTCTGGTAATCTTGAATGTGGTTTATTCTTATAGTTCTCGTATGTAAAATTAATCCCACAAATACCAACATTTCATCTTTTGTGGATTCCTTCCAAGCATTTGTTTCACGGCAACAAAGTACTTTATGAGTCTAGTCATTCTTTTGAGTACTTACTTCATCCAAAATATTTTCAGTAAGTAAATGGCAAAATAATGATTTGGATTGTAACCCTAAATAGGCTGCAACAAACACTCTGATTTTGTGAAAGATTTTGTGATTTTGTTCCATTGTTGTTGGGGATTTTCCCAAATTGTATTTCCTACCATAGAAGAATCAAGCTGATGTCATGTTGCCTCTTGCACATCTTTCAACTTCAATCCAAAATATCATGGGTATCTTGGGGAGAAATTAAATCTTCATCGCTGTCATAACTAACATCATTCAAGAACTTGAGATAGACAAGGGCGAATTTTCAACAGCTCAGATTGCAGGACTATATCAAACTTGTCATAATGGGATGAAAGCCCATTATGACAAGTTTGGTTTCTTGCTCAATTTCCGATGCATTACGGGAATGAGCGAAACTGACCTGTGATGTTGTGATGTTCTGAGCGTTATCTTAACAGATAAAATTACTGGGTCGGATGTTGATGCTCATGATTTATGTGCTGAATTGGGCAACTTAACAGGTTTAGTGCAACAAAGTACTGCTGCTTTTAAAAATCTGCAGTTCATTAAATTCTTTCCCAAACGTCTGTTGCATTCCTTATAGCTTTGACATTTCCAGTAACTGTCGCGTCTGCTGAGCGAAGCTTTTCAAAGCTCAAGCTGATTATGAGTGACCAGCAAACAAGCATGATGCAACAGCGATTGAGCACACAAGCATGACGCAAGAGCGTTAATATCAATTGAGGTACAAAATCTCATGATACTGAGGAATACAGTTGTTTGGTAGGAAGTTTGATATTACCCTTAATGTTACTAACAGAGGCTGTTTGAAGTCTTTAACATGAATTTGCAATATTTTTTACAAATTATTCCAAATTTGTCATAGTTTAAAGCATTGGCTTTCTTTTTCTGTTAACACAATATGTGAAGTTGATGAAAATAATTCATTCACGTCATGTTCGTTTTTGTTCTTTTACTGCTTGTAGTTGAAACGTATTAACTTATTTTTAATGATCAGCAAACAAATGCTTTTAGATAAATGTGAAAACAATTATATCGAGAAAATTATTTTTGTACACTGATAAATGTACAGAAGTACAACGAAGTTTATAAATTAGTGGATGAATGTTCATCAGTATTTAATAACTGATACATGATCAGAAAATTGCATTAGGCAAAATGGCTGAAATTTTTATTTTAGATGCCAAGACAAGAACGAAGTTCGTATGCAGGAGGAGGACAATGATGCGGAAACGTTTGCATTCCAAGCTGAGATAGGCTACTCATTGAGCATCATCATCAACACCTTCTATTCCAATAAAGAAATCTTTCTTCGAGAACTGATTTCAAACTCATTGAATGTAAGTAATTCTGTTGTATATTTAACGTGTTGTAACATGTTAAGATTGCAAACTAAATGAGGTACTATACAAAGTCAAGAAATAATGGAGGACCCTTGTGACCATCATTTGATTTCGTTGCAAAAATTTTTATTGGTCATAGATTGTTTCAGTTTTACCGAGGGCCTCAATAATTTTGTTAGCATGACTGCTGCTAGAGTAATATAGTACATCTTAACTACCAAGTTTATGGCTTAAAATTAGTTCATTTGGATGACTTAAGTAAATATAATGTGATGTAAAAACTAGCATCTGAATTAAAGATATCAATTTTTTATTTAGGCACTTGACAAAACCAGGTGTGAATGTCTCACAGATCCTAGCCAACTGGACCTGTAAAGATCTGAGAGTTAAAATCATTCCGAACGAGGAGGATAGAACCTTGGCCATCATTGACACCGGTATTGGTGTAAGCATTGCAGATTTGGTAAACTTGGTGATTTGGTAAACAACAGATATATTTTTTAATTTTTTATCAAGGAAAATATTTTCCTATTATAAAATTGCAAGTAATTGTATTCTGAAAAGTGCATTGAACTCTGCTTAATTATTGATTTCCATACACCAAATGATGCAAATTTTTTTATGAACAAAAATGCTAATTGTGAAAATGGACAACCATAATGATAGTTTTCAAAATATAGAATTTATTCATCATTGGTTTTTATTAACATTGAACATTTGTACATATATTTAGCTACTAATCCATTTTTAATCCTTTTAGGTGCATTCTGATCAAAAATCAAAGATTGTAAATACCTGAGTTTGGTTCATGAAATGCATGAATAAAATAAAATAATAATGCTTAATTAAGCATGAACAAAAGTAAGAAATTATCACCTGATGGCAATAAATTGGTGAAG